ATTTCCTTGTTACTCTTCTGCAGCTGATGCCACATCACAGCCTGACTGGAGATCCCTGCACTACAGAAAGGGTGATTTCATATTCCACAACCCTTTATAATGTAACGTTCCTAGTGACACATGGTGCCTACAGTCTGCTCCCAGGTGGAGCACCCTCAGTGGGCACAATCTGTAAAGGATCCTTGAAGACTGAACACAGTATAGAACCATTAGAGCTGATGAAGATTTAATGGTGCACCTCAAATGAAAAGCTTGGGAATGGGATGGAGTGTTACCTATGTCTGGCTTGCAGACAGGAAGGTGACATAATTCCTTTGCAACCTCAGAGAAAGAGATCAAATGAATTTTTTGTATGCATTTATAGAATCAAAGACATTTTTGAAGAAAGAGTCTTCTCGTTTTAAATAGCATATAAAGTTCACTGATACAATGGTGGAATTAATAGGACTTTTTCCAACTTTTTCACACTTATAAATCATAGCAAATACAAACATTTTAAACAAAACCATCGTCTCAAAGGACAGTGTTAGAAAAGAAACAGTGTACTGAGAAAGAAACAGATAATCAAGAAATATGAGAATCTTTTGCTAATGCAATGCATGACCATTCTGTACCGTCCTACGAGATGGCATGAGTGTGCTGTAAAAAAGGACATCAGATAGCTTTGAAAACACTTATCCTTTCCCACCTTCTGCATAAAAGCAGAAAAACAACGAGGCCTTCTAGACGGAGTGATGCTGAGCTGGTGTAAAAGATATGAAGATCGCTGACTTCAAGAAAAGTTTTTCAGATGAGAGGATACTTTTGAGCAACTTGTCAGCTGAACAATTCAGAATGCTAATGGCAAGACTTCACGCTCACGAATCAAGTCAATTTACTGCTGAAAAAAATCAAATAGAAAAATGACCATACTTCAGAAGCCTTTAAAATTAATATATTGTTAAGAAGGTGTCAAGACTGTTGATCTGCAGGCTGAAGTGTCCTGACTTCATTTATGCTATACTCAGTTTAAGCTGGCTGAGATCTGGTGATGAGCTGGAGCGTTTTCAGCCACTACGTGTGTCAGGGTATTTTTCTCTGGTGGTAGTGGGGAGTATGTCTTTCTCTCTCCCCACCCCCCACCTCTTTTTTTTTTTTTTTTTTGACCAGGACTTGCCATAGTTTGATGAAGCCCTTCTGTATTGAAGCAGGTGCCATCCCTCACAATGAACTGTGATCGGAAGGCAAGTGAACATGACTTTACTTCATTTCCAGCAACACCTTACATATCTTGAAGGAATATCCCAGAGTGCTTTTATCTCAATCTCTGCCCCTAGTTCCGGGATGGTTCTTTCTAGCCACAAGCAGGACTCGTGGAAGGAAAATGACGTCCTTAATCTGCTCGTGATGTAAACAGCTGTGAGTATCTGTGGAAGCAGAAAGTAGTTCTCTTTCCTGAAATGTAACTAAACACACAGCTTAAAGTTTTTCCTTTTCCACATAATTGATGACTTAGATATTGAAAAGAACCTGGCTTCATCCGTGAAGGATGCGATCATCTCTTGCAGCACAGTGCCCCCTAGCACTGCCTGCACACACTCATGCAGGATGGAGGGAAGAAGGCCACTTTGCTCAGTCAACAACACCTGCGGGACACGGCTTTCCCTGGGAATTTTCACACCAACTATTGACCCAGCCCAGTCATGCTTAGCTTGTGGGATCCGACAAGATCACAGCATGAAGTTGTGTGGCTGCCCAGTAAAGCAGAGAGATCCTTAATTGTGTTCAACAGTGTGTTTCTTGATGGAGGGCTGGAATAACATAGATTTCTTTATTTGGTGACATTAACCAAATGTGAACTCTAATTTTCTCATATGAAGATCAAGGTCTTTATTTTCTCCTTCTTTCTCCGCTACATTTTTTTTATGGCCATATAAGGCTTAAAGTTTTACCTGAGCAAAAGAGCAGAATGATAGGTTTTATTTTACTTTTTTCCCTTTGCAGTTTCTCCCATGCAGATAGGGCATAGAGCAGGAATTCAGAGAGAATTCTCCTTTCAGTTCCTTCATCAACTTTCTATGTTACTCTGACAACATTATCAATATTTTCTTATATAAATAAACACTCAGAATCCCTGCCTGTCCCTTCCAGACTTCACTTTACTAGTAGGTCTTAAAGAGGAGAGGCAAATATCAATATCTAATTGATATTATCAGAGGATAACATACAGAGGATAACATCTATTTACAGATGATAAAATGAATATACAGGGAGGTTAAATAATTTAACAAAGGCCTCGAGTAGGCCACTGGCCAGACTGAGCTTTCCTGAATATTATTTACCTGTAATTTACAAAAATAAGTCACTCTGGCTTCTGTGTGTGAAATGTACTCTTTAGATGGAAAATAAATATTATTTTTATTGTACAGTATTCAGTCCTGGTTGAAAAAACTGCATCTCTACTATGGTAAAGAAGTTAATCTCCTTAAAAAAGAATATTTAAGTGTCAAAAAAGCAGGTGAATCAGCTAAGTCTTGACCCAATACAGGCACTGCTACTCCAGGCAATAATAATATAGGCATTACAAAAATTTCTGGATCAACTCCCAAACAGTAATATAGAGAATAACAGTAAGCCTTGCCATACAAACAGTCTGCACAGCACCCCTTCCAAACAAATGTGCCCTACCTCTGGATCAAGTTGTGTCATTTCTTTTCATCCTATTACTTCCCTGGATTATATCTGAAAAGTGAACTAGTTCCTGCAATCAGCATAAACTTGGTGTAATTTTAACAAGCTTGGTCAGCCTCACTGTAAACAAGCTACTTCCATGCCTAGGAGGGCCCTGTGGAACGTCAGTAATTTCTAGTCTTCTTCCTCTCACATTTCAGAAATTGAGAAGGTGACTGAAGGGTTTCTTTTCTCAGAATGTGTCCTGCATCTGCGTACCATAGACACACAGCATTTACATAGCACCCAACAACTTAAAAGCTTATTACAAAGCATTTAGCTTGTTAGTCCTCAGAAGACACTGGAAAGATGTTATTATAGAAATGAAGAAACGTACTCAGAGGAGTTATTTGGCCAGAGAGCGAAGGGAGGTGGTGCTGGAGCTGTGATTATAATCTAGTTGTGTGTGGGCCAAACTCTCCCTTATTTACACCAGTGTCAGGTTCTGGAATAACTCCACTTCTCTCAGATATTGATCTGAGATTGTTGATAGACCAGGTGTATCATGATGTTGCTGATATCAAACTTTTTACAACAACAAAGAAAAAATGAGAGTGCCAGACACACCTAATTTTTCTTCCGTGTTACTCTGCTGAGGTTGGTGAAGTTGTTCCTTGTTTACACCCAGTGAGACTGAAATGACAGTCCATCCAATCTGATGGATTCAACTTCAGTTGTAGTACCTTGAACAGATAGTCCAGATACCTAAACTGTTTTTTGCACAGGGTTTCTCATATTGCAATTTGGGCCCAGTGATTCAGCCACTGATGTGTATAAATTGAATGACCTATTTAATGTCTCATACATACTTATATGACCCGTTAGCATCTCCGTACCATCTATTTTTTTCAGTGTGTTCACTAATACACATTCCTGAGCAGCTCCCATCACTATTATCCCATTACACAGGGATTTGAAGCACAGTGAGGCAAAGTTGTCACATAGGTTGTCTGTGTCACAGCAAGGATAGCAACTTGTGTTTCCCATTGTTGGCATTGTAACCTTGATCCCTACTGACAACACCCATCTTTGTCTATTGATGCTCCAAATAAAAGCCTATGCTTCCATAAAATGGGAGATTTTAATTTTATATGCATGGTATGATTAAAGAAAAGGTGTAGGCAGGCTATGCTTAACCCAGATGGAGCAGAATTGTAATTCTAAAGACTTGGCTGACTATTTAGAAATTTAGGACAGCTGGTCCCTGGCCTTTAATACCAGCATAATTTATAACTAGATATGCTTAAGTCTTGTAAACCCCGTGGAAAGTACTCTGACATTATATATACTGGTTTGATACTGTGATTAATCACCCCTCAGTCCCCTTTGCAGGATAATAAGGCTGTCTGTATCTTGCAGCTGGCAATCTCCTTCCTTAGAGTCCCAGCTCTCCTATAACATTTACATTTCTACAGCTGACAGAAATTTAAGGCTCCGAAAGGGGATAAGGCAAAACAAAACAAACATTTCTATAAATTCCGCTAAAGCTGCTCTGCTAAAATACACGTTGAGATTAAATGTTGGGAGTGCCTGAGTAGATACGACACTGCTTTTTCCAGCTCGATGTTAGCAGTGTATGACCCCTTTCTGTCCGAAAGCCCCGAAAAGAGCAAGCGATGGGTGATGGTGGTGAGGTGACAGAAGAAGGAGGATTAAAAACACGCAGGGCGACATTCTGGTTTACAGTTCAGCTAGGTCTTGTCCTTCTTTTCCTACGTCCCCTTTCCACTGCCTGTTGAAAGAGGAAAAGAAGCAGCACGGCGCACTTTTGAGTTTTCTGACCGCTGCCGGCAAAGCCCCTTGGAATACAGTGTCACCGCCGCCTTCAGCTTAAACTCAGCTTGCAAGACAGCACAGATGGTTTTCAAGGGAAACAGCCCAGGCTTTCCGAGCGAACCACAAACCCCGCGTGTGTTTTCCAGGAGCCCCTCCGCGCCCTGAGGAGCGGCGCGGGGCGGCAGGTCCTGACCGGGGTTGGGGGGGCCGGGACCGCCGGGGCACTGACGGCCTGGGGACGGACACGCAGAGGTACCGCCAGTACTGATGTAAGAGTTCCAACCCCCCGCGGCACCGGGGGACCGCGGGTCGCGGCCGGAGCCTCCCCCTGCCAGCGGGGCCCGCGGCGCCGCCGCCGCACGATTCCGTATAAGGCGCTGTGGCGGCGGCCCCGCCCCGGCCGCTCCCGCCGATGAGCTCATGCGGCGCTGCCATTGGCCGCGCGCGGCGGCGCCCCCGGAGCCCGAGCGGGCGCGATCCGGGCTATAACCGCGCGCGCCGGACCCGGCCCGCACCGCCCGCACCCGCCGCGCCTCAGCCCTGCGCGTCCCGCCGAGACAGCGCTGCCCTGCCGAGCCCGGCCAGAGACAGAGAGAGAGAGAGAGAGAGAGAGGCGCAGTGCAGGCTGCGGACGGGCAGGCAGCAGCGGCGCACGGGCTGTTTAGGGAGCGAGAGTAAAGTCAGGCGAGCGCAACAGCGGCCGCCTCCCGCTCCGCAGAAGTGAGGAGGCAGCACCTCGGGGGGCAACATGACGGCGTGGCTGAGCTTCCTCGCCGTGTTCCTCTGCAGCTGGAGCCTGCGGGACTTGGTGGTGGAGGCTTGCACTTGCGTCCCCATCCACCCGCAGGACGCGTTCTGCAACTCCGACATCGGTAAGTGCCGCCCGCGCCGGGAGGGCTCCCGGGCTGGGGGCAGCTGGAGAGTTCCCGGGACCCCGAGGGGGTGAGGGCGGCAGTCGGGCTGTCACCGCAAGGAAGTCCTCGTCCCTCGAGTCACCCAGTGAAGGCAGAGGTGCGGCGGGTTAAACTGGTGAGGGGGGACCCGACTTTTGAAGACCGGGTTTGGCTCCATCGCTGCCGCCTGGGTTGGTAAGAGGAGAGGCGTGTAGCGGCGGACCCCCGCCCGGCACTCCCAAGCCCCGTCCCGCGGCAGCCTCTCCCAGAAGTCCTTCAAAGAAATCAGTAGTTGTTGAAGTGGCATGTTTCCTACAGCGGGACAAATACGCAACTTGGAGATGTAGGCTGACAAAATTTCCTCCACAACTTGGTGACAAAAAGTAGGAGGCAGGATTAGGATGGGTTCTTCCAAGCCGGGAAACCGACCGTGGCGGCTGGTATGGGAGGTGCGGCTCACATAGGCTTGTGGTGCTGCGTCTGTAACTTTGGGGAAGGGCTGGAGAAGCAGATAACAAGTGTCTCCACACTTTCTGCTGTCATCTTTGGAGCTTCTGGGAAAGTTAAAACATTTTTATTGAATCCTGACTGACGTTCTCCGCTATGGGTTTTAGGATCCTTAGGGGTTAGCTACACTAACTTTAGGTAGGAGACAAAGACAACACCAAAAATCTCTGAGGAGATGGTAACAGAGACTGATCTCAAGTTCTTTGGTTTGTCTGTAGACAAGGATGGTTAACAAAATATGGTTACTGCTTGTTAAGTGTTCTGTGGCAAAGTATATGAAATCAAATAGTGGTGTCCTTTGAGTTAATACTGGACACATGTCCATGTAATGGTAAATCCAGGCTGTCACTTCAGCAGTCGTGAGTGGATGGCACAAGTGAAGCCTCTTACCTTCTCTGTAGGTTGCCTTAGTAGCACAACATAAAAGGGGCTTGAGGGACTTTGCACTGATGGTACCCACATGGTACTGACTCCAAGTGGAGTCTGCAAAGAAGTCCTTCTGGCAACTGCTATGAAAGTCAAATAGAAAATAATCGTTACTGCAGCAGAACACCCATAGCTATGAACCCTGCCGGTGGCTCTTTCAAGTTAGATTTTTTTGCCAGTAAGCTTGGCTGTCTCTTGTCAGAGAGAGTTCTTCTACAGAAACTGTACTTATGCCTGGTTATTCATGTCTAGTTTATATAGTGTGTCTGCTCTTGAATGCCAAAAACCCCATTACATGTTAATAGTGCTAGGAAGGTTACAGTTTGCTTCAGTGATGATAGCCTGAAGAACATTTATAAAATAGTTTTATACTGGCAAATTCTTCCCGAAAACTGCAGTATTCAAGGTTCTGTTGCTGTTTTCATAGTTGGGATCAACAAGTGTGCCATCTAAGTGGCAACTGCCAGAGATATTGTCCTTTCTGTGAAAGGGAGACTGAGAAACCATTTTTCTACAGCTAAAGCTGATAGCAGCACATGGTCTTCATTAGCTGCATTTTGGGAGAAGGTCTACTTTCTTGCACTGATTAGGTCATGTTATACTAGATTAAGAGTAGTTTTCAGTTTAATTCAACTTCTAAAATGATGTTAAATAAATTTTTGTGATGAATATACACAGTGTATTTTTACTAGATGCGTAAGTGACTAGGAGTATAGTAAACTATGAAGTTTCATGTAACATTGCTCCTAAGCTTTAGGGCACAAAGTCTTTCTGTTTTCTACTCTGATTTTTGATTGAGTTCAGAGTCATTTCCTTCATCTTTCCTTTCTCTCTTCTGGACTCTTAATTATATCTCAAGCCTTGGCTTTGCTCTAAGACATAGAGCAAAAAGTTGATGTCTGTGGGGCTGCCATGCCTTCAGACATCAGAGCAATGCAAGGGAGGAGAAGCATGAGGGGAAAAAGCAACTTGTTCCAGTAGATGATTTGAATGCAAGTTTGGTTAAGACTGCAGCTTGGTGATGGGTTGAAGCAACAGTAAATCCTTATGTTTGCTAGAACTGTCTGGAAAATGTGATGTTTCTGTAGGCTGATTTTAGTAAATGCTGTCATGTTCTTCATATGCGGAAAGGGAAAAAAGCCCACTAAAGCTTTCTGGCTCTGGAGGAGTTAATCATCTCCATGGAAACTGATGGCAGTGTACTAGTGCAGTGTTTAGACAGACTAAACTACACGCTGGGTTATAAAACACATTGTGGGGAAGAAAGGGACTTGGCAGCAAGTTTTTATCGCTCTTGAAACTCCTGACAAAATACCAGCTCTGAAGGGAGGAGTCAGTGCAGTAAGAGCTGGAGCAAAAGAGGCTTTTAAAATAGCTCCTAAAACAATACAAGAAATTAACTAGCTAGGTGGCAGCCTTGGAGAGGCTTTTCATCTTCAGAAGCACTGAATTTTGAAGAAGGAAAAAACTTTTAGTTTAGGATTGTGGTGCAAACTTTTACTGTTGGTGTTGCGTGCCTAGCCAGTGAAGTCTTACTGTCAGGTTTATTCTCTTCTTCCTTTGATTTTTCATCTTCCAGTGGCTCTGTTCTGGTGCTCCCTCCCAACCCTGCAGTCATTAGAAGGTTTTAATCTTTACAGAAACAGATGGTCAAATAAACCCATTGGAAAGGGTAGGATTTCTGTATGTACATCCTTTGAAAGTGAAGGCTGTGGTCTTCTAAAGGAAGCTTGGACTTCATACATAATAATTTTTTTTTTTAATTAAAAAAAGGGGGGGGGGTTAAAAAAAAAAAAAAAAAGAGGCACTACTGCCAGACTGGTCATAAGGGGTCTTTTCACTCAACCTGATTGTTCCAGCATGATGAATGGAGCAAAAATGAAGAGGTGTGTCTTATCTGGCCCTCCGAGGTCAATAAATAATAAAATTGCTGTTTTAACTCTTGGCTTTCTTTCTTAACTGGATCAATAAGTGCCAGAACAGGCAGTACAATAATTAGACAAACTGCAACTGCTATGACTTGCCATCTGAACTTTACTTCCTCCACTCCCGCCCTCTGCCTACGACCCCTTCCAGATGTGAATATTTTTCTTTTGTTTGAATTAGGGGATCTTTTGAAAGAACAGACACCAGGCATGCTTTGTTCCTTTGTGACAAAGCTGTGACATTTCCAGCTGGACATAGCTGACATGAAAGGGACTTGTTTGTCCTTTTTTTTTGCAGGAGCAGCAGGAACTTTTGAATTTGGCTGCTGAATGTTGAATTCATAGGTTTGGAAAACACCTCCTGCCTGGTACCCTCTGCCCCACATCCCCTTTCAAAAACAAAACAAAAGGAGGGGAAAGTATGTGATATTGTGATTTGACAAATGAGTCTGCAAGCGATAAAGTACTTTGTCCACTCCACACCTATCTTACTTTCATCTTGTGCATATACTTTAGAAAAGAGCTGTGGCACTATTAACTGTCTCTTACCTAAGTTCAAAGGTGCTCAAAATTCCTTTGTATGGTTTGTGTTGGGGGAAGAAATACCTGTTTCAGCAAGGGTACCAGTGGGTAGTGCTCCTGTCTGTTCTAAAAAGCCTGTTTGGATGAGTTGAGGTTGACAAGCTTTGGGGAGGTGAAGGTAAGCTCTTAAGAGTCCCTTGGTGGAAGCCATTCTTCACTCCATCCTCCTATGCCCATAGCACTGAGTTCACAACACCTGCAGTGGCTCCCATCCTTCGAACTGAGAACATGATAGGAGAAGAGGAAGAAAGAAAGAGCAGAGAAGGAGAAAGCTATGGAATTTGCTTGGCCCAGAGGCTAAGCACCTAATTGAAAACCTGCCCTTTCACTGGTTTCCTTGAATTGATCATTCCACCTTCTCACTAAAAAGCTGAAAGTGATATGCAGAACAACTTGATCATAAGTGAGATTTTGAACATGGGTTCTTTACTTTGAAGTAGACTCTGTAGTGAGGTCACATGTGCTGTCTTAGCTTTTAAGGCAGACAGGTAAGGTCTGCCAAGTTAGTTTAAAAGTTAAAATAAACTAGCTCCAATTAATTATACCAATCTTTTGAATTGAGCTGAATGTAAAACAATTTTTTTGAGCTACCTGTTGTGGTAATGGTTGCAAAAGTGTTGTATCCACTTTGGAATCAGACTTTTCTTGAGGAAGCAATGATGTGGTTTTATTTTTAGACTGAATTTCCCTTTGAGGCATTTTAGAAGCAGGAAATCTGAGAAGTGTCCTGTAAAGCTTAACAAAATTAAAAAAATAAAGTACTGCAAATTTCATTTTACGTGGGAAGAAATTGAGGAGATTTGTTTAACTTTTATGAAATTCCAATGTCCCTGGTAAAAGCTGTGGTGAAAGAGAGTATTCCTTGTGCCTAGTCATGTCTTCTGGCAGAAAGATGGCCATTCTCAACTGAATTGTTCTATTTAGCAGAAGCGGAGATATGATTTGCTTCTTTGTGGGTTTTTTTTGTTGTTGTTGTTGGTTTTTCTTTGTTTGGATATTTGCAATTTTAAGTCCATATGAGAAGAGGGAGATCACCTTGTCGGATCTAGAGTAAGTCACTTCTCCAGATGTATGTATTAAAAAATAAAAGTGGTGGAAAGTACTGTTTGGAAGATGTAGTGCAGAATGTTATATCTTCTTACTATTGCATATGCTTACTCCTTATTTCTTGCAGGAAGTATCTCCAGCGAGAACTCTGAGCCAGCGGAGAGCCAGATGTTCTAACATTAAGGCTTGGAGCTCTTTGCTTTATGTAGACATTTCTTGTAATTTTCATTAATTTCCCACATGATCTTTAGAACTCTCCACCTGCCAATTGCTCTTCTAATATTTCTGGAAAGAAGTGGGCTGGTGGGAACATAGTTATATACAGCCATATGCAGTACTAGTATCTTTTAGCTTAGAAAAAGTTTTCATATGGGTTTGGGAAGGACCTGCTTTATTCATGTCTGTTTTTGAGGATGAGCAGATTTGATTGTTTGACCACAAGAGAAGTGGCACAAGGTGACAAGTTAATTGTCAGCTTCATCAGTGCACTTC